ACACTGGTGATGGGGATGCCATACAGATTCATGTCAAAAATCCCGAACTATCCCTTTAAAGCTGTTGACCCAGAAGAAGAAATTAATTGTCCTATGCATGGAAATGTGTCTCTGTAATGGTTACCTGTTACAGGAACAACATCTCCACTCCAGCCCTGCAAGGATAAAGGGACCTGTGCAACATAAGGATAGTTAGAAATATCTGTCTGTCTCTGTGACAGTTGGTATGAGACCTGCACAAAACAATATTATATTATTGAGCTAAAATTCTCATCTTTTATTGCCATTACACTGTCACAAGTACAGAGCAATAAAATTAACTTGGGGAGCAGTGGGCTGCCATTGTGCAGCCCCCCTGGAGCAGTGTGGCGTTAAGGGTCTTTGATCAGGAACCCAGTGTGGCAGTCTGTGGGAGTGGGTTTTGAACTGAGAACCTCAGGATTCCAAGCTCTATACCCTAACCACTAAATGAGGTGGATTTTAAGAGGTTTTAATGCCTCCTTTGTTTTATGACTTACTGTTCTGTGACAAATTATAAACTCATAATTTAAACAGAGGCTTGATTAGATAGAAAGTAGCCGATGTAACTTATAGTGAATCTTAAGGACTTATTCTTTAACATCTCCTATTTATTGTTCCCCAGGACAGAACTGCAGCTGCACCAACTTCCTGAATCCAACTCCTTTGGTATACTTCAGCCAACCAAGGTACAGAAAGCCTGACTGCTGATGATGGGTAACACAGGAACACGTTTGACAAAAGGGGAGGAGGAGCTGTGAGGTCAGGTGTAAAGAGAACAGAAACACTGAATGCTTCTCCACTGTGATCAGAGCAATATGGCCATCATATAATGTTGACAACGGCGTACAGGAGCTCAGTTTGGATTTAATGCCATGAATGCATCTTACATGAAGAATGACAGATATGAAGGAAATCTCTGAGACCTTTGCTAACGGTCAAAATATTATGACTGATAAGAAAGATGCATTCAGATTTATCTTTAGAATACAAAAAAAAGATAGGATCAATGGACAGAAACACAATGAGCAAAAATTAGTTGAAAAGACATTGAAAAGATAGACGTTGGTTGGTCCCCGACCAAACCCACAATACAAGAGTGGACAAGTATCGTAAATGACATTTACCTTATGGAAAGGATAACCTCTCCCTCCGCCTTCAGAAAAATATATTCACTAAGAGGTGGGCCAAGTGGGTTAAACACGCTGGTCTCCAACAAAGAGAAGTATGGAATGGATGACCATGCAAAGCCTGTTATTTAATCTATGCTCTGTAGCGTCCAAGGATTATTAAATTAATGTATCTCTCATACTTTATTTCAAAAACTCCTGGTATATGATTTACTCCTGCTACTCAGGTAGACCTGTCTTTCCCTGTTAGTTGTTAGATGTAATTTCAGATGTAACTTATACATTTAGTTTATATTTTTTTTATAATTTTATATATACAAAAATTAATTGTTAGTGGCGGTAGTAACATTGTGCGTTCCCTGAAAGTAACTACCTTTGTATTGTAATGCTGTCAGGATTTGGTGTGGACTGAGGACCCAAAAGCAGAGGCGAGTAGGCAGAGGTGAATTTAGGTGGGTTTAATGAGGTTCTCAGGTACGGAGGCAGGAATCAAAAATCCAACAAAAATAATAAACAAACCAGAACCAAGGAGACATCAGGGGAAACCAAACTCTAGGAGCCAGGGAAAGACGAGGTAAGCAGACAGACGTTTGACAAGGATCCAGCAAGCAGGAACTGAAGAGGGAGGCTTTTAAAGGGGACAGAGACAAAGAGAGGGCTAATGTGAGGATTGAAAACAGGTGAGGACAGAGCAGAAAACAGAGCTAGGGAAAGAGGACACAAGAGGGCAGCAGAGGACAACAAATGGAAAACCAAGACTGTGACAAATGCTCTCACAAGGAAAAAAAAAAAAAAGTCAAAAAAAAGAAAAAACATTGAAAAGATGACATTATTTACATTCAAAAATCTTCATTTGATTGAATAGTGAACAGACCTAATTATTAGATTCCCTACATCTTTTAAACGTCCATTATTGGACTAAAGTGGGAAAAAATCAGACCGACTAAACACAGCCCATTTTTCAACAAGTATTTCTGGACTAAATCAAGACTATGACACACCGACTCAATTCAGCCTAAAAACCAACGTCTAAACGACGTCTGGTGTTTGGGATGGAAAAAATATTAGACTGTAAAATTCAATTCAGTTTATTTATATAGCTCCAATTCACGACACATATCATCTTGAGGCACTTTACAGATACAATTCAACCAGATCATACAGTCAAATTGATTCAAAGATTTCTATCAAAGGAAAACCATTTGATCGACTTATTGACTCTTCAGCAATCCCTCACACTAACATTAACAGGAAGAAACCTCCAGCGGAACCAGGGTCAGTTTGAGCGGCCATCTGCTGAGGCCGACTGGAGTTCAAGGAGACAGAAGCAGAGATAGAAAAAGCGGCTNCGAGGATCCAGCAAACAGGAACTGAAGAGGGAGGCTTTTAAAGGGGACAGAGACAAAGAGAGGGCTAACGAGAGGTTTGAAAACAGGTGAGGACAGAGCAGAAAACAGAGCTAGGGAAAGAGGACACAAGAGGGCAGCAGAGGACAACAAATGGAAAACCAAGAATGTGACAAATGCTCTCACAAGGAAAAAAAAAAATTCAAAAAAAAGAAAAAACATTGAAAAGATGACATCATTTACATTCAAAAATCTTCATTTGATTGAATAGTGAACAGACCTAATTATTAGATTGTTGAAAATTTGTTGAAGACTGGGTTCCCTACATCTTTTAAACGTCTATTATTGGACTAAAGTGGGAAAAAATCGGACCGACTAAACACAGCCCATTTTTAAACAAGTATTTCTGGACTAAATCAAGACTATGACACACAGACTCAATTCAGCCTAAAAACCAACGTCTAAATGACGTCTGGTGTTTGGAAGGGAAAAAATATTAGACTGTAAAATTCAATTCAGTTTATTCATATAGCTCCAATTCACGACACATATCATCTTGAGGCACTTTACAGATACAATTCAACCAGCTCATCCAGTCAAATTGATTCAAAGTTTTCTATCAAAGGAAAACCATTTGATCGACTCATTGACTCTTCAGCAGTCCCTCACACTAACATTAACAGGAAGAAACCTCCAGCTGAACCAGGGTCAGTTTGAGCGGCCATCTGCTGAGGCCGACTGGAGTTCAAGGAGACAGAAGCAGAGATAGAAAAAGCGGCTCGGTCCAGGAAACACACAGCCTGCCAGATGATGTTTAGAATAAGAAAAAATAAACATATTCATTATCCTTTTTCAGGTGCATAACATCTGATAATCTAATTCCAAGTGAATAAATATTCACTGTGAGATACAGTAATCCTGCTCATTTTAAGGACACATTGTTGGATCAGGTTTACTTGAAAAAGTCAGAGCAAAGTTAAACAAAGCTCTTCTTAAATTTCCCTTCCTAAATTGCTCTCTTCTGTGCAACAGGTGTCTTTTACAGATAAAAATGGCTCTGTACTATAGTCGGATGGCGCTCTCAAGCAGCTCAGTGTCTGCACACAGAAAATCACAGCATTCATTACCAGCTGCTGCGTCACCGCTCTAACCTCAACATGTGAAACGCAGCTGCAGTCTGTCTCACGCCGACCTCAGCAGCAGCAGCAGGAGGCAGTTAGATGGCCGAGGAAATCCGCTCTGTTAGCTGTTCTTAGAGCTGCACTGATTACAGCTGCAGGTGACGAGGAGCCAAACAGCATACCGTTGGCTCTCATGTCAAAGAGGGACTGGAGACAGATGGGTCCCCCAAAAAACTCTGATGTCTGATTGTGCATGGCCTCAGAAACTGAACATCTGCATTTAGAGACAGACAAACACACACTGGAAAAAAAATCTAAATCTTGATAAGTCTTGATAAGTTGGTATTTTTTTCTTAAAATAAGTGAATTTGTTCTTGGATTGAGAAGATAATGGATCAAGACAATTAAGGTTTAAAGTAAAAAAACACAACTGCATTGTTTTATTTCAGTGCAGATTTTTTAATTGGCAAGTTATCTAATTTACCTACTCATCAAGGGTAAATGCACTTAATTTATGACATTTTTACTTATTTCTAGATTGTTTTCAGTGCAGAGAGAGAGAGATGACATTTAAATTTTGTATTGCATTACCTAATTGAATGTTAAATCATAATCCACTTTATTTCTCTCTGTTTAAGTTTTCATTATCCTAAATACCAAAAACAGTTCAACTGTGTAAATTTCATCTTTTAAACTTTTTTTTGTCAAGGTTTCTGTCTCATGAATAATTTTAAGCTGTTATCATGCGTTTACTTTTTCTAGTGCAATTACCATCATCAGTAAGTATGTCTGACAGCAGACAGGTTTATAAAAGGGGCCATGAGGTCCAAATCAGATGACTCATTCAGAAATGATCGTTGTGTTTATATCTAAACATCAATAAAAAACCTTTTATGACTATATATCCTATTATAGACAACAGTCATTCCCAGGATGATGACAATGTTTTCAGTCTCATCGAAAAAGGTTCTGGTATTTGTCTGTATAAATGACACATCTCTGCCACCTGCTGGCAATAAAAAAGTTTGGCTACTTGGGACTAAGCAGTTACAGCACATAGACTCTATCATTACTTTAATTATTACCGGCAACAAATTGATGTATTTTTTTTCAAGGGTATAAAATGCTATTTTCATAAATAAACATAGCTCAGAATGTGTTGTCAGGTGAACAAATCACTTACTTAGGCACCTCTCGCGACCCCACTCGGGACAAAGGGTGTCAGATAATGGATGGATGGATTGACCTCCATTAAGGAGATCTATTTTATCTGCAATGTGACTCAAATGTTCTTCCACCTTATCAGGCAGCCTTTACTGACCACAAACTATCCTCCTGCTTTCTTTCTCTGCCTTTGTTCTTACAGGTGGAGGAAAAACAGCGAGCGTCTGTTGCCTTCACCAAGCTGCTGACTGCCATGGAAACACTAAGCTTCTCTGTCGGCGAGCAGAAGGCGATCTGGCACGTTCTGGCTGCTATTTACCACCTGGGAGCTGCTGGGGCCTGTAAAGGTGACACATTAAATAGGCAGTATATCAGTCATACACAAAGCATCTCCTCTGTGGTAATCCCAAATGTGTGTACTGGTACATCTCTAAAATAATAATATCCTGTTATAATTCAGTATTTTTCATAATTTATAGCTGAAACTAAAACTCATTCAAATTGTTATTTAGCGCAAATTAATGACACGAATTCTGAAGCCATTTTACAAAAAGAAGAAGTCAATTCAGTCCAGTCATACAGACAGAGACCATGTCAATAACTTTTATCAATCAGTGCAATTCAGTTTTTGGAGCATAGGGATACAATTAAGCAGAATGAAAGGAGTTCCCTATGTCCTCCAGCAGTCTAATCCTATAGCAGCATAACTTTAAAAATACCTGAGTAACCTTAACTATAAAATTCATCAACAAGAAAGATGTTATCCCTGGTCTTAAAAGTAGAATCTGAAACTCAAAGATCTGCCTCTGATTCTACTTTGATAAATTCTAGGGACAATTAGTAAACCTGCAGTTTAAGAGTGAAGTGCTCTATTAGGAACATAGGGAGCAATCAGATCTCTGATGTTAGATGGAGCTTGGTCATTTGGGGTTTTATATGTGAGTAGGAGGACTTTTACATTCTATTCTTAAATTAAAGAAAGCCAATGAAGGAAAGATACAAGCAGAGAAATATGATCTCTCTTTTAATTTTCATCAGAACTCTGGCTGCAGGATTTTGGATCAGTTTAAGGCTTTTAACTACAGTTTGTGGACTTCCTGACAGTAAAGAATTACAGTAGTCCAAATTCTGCAATTTCCAGAGATGAAAGAAGGACATTCTAGAAACCTCTTTGATGACAGGTCCTGATCAAAATTAATTACATTAAATAAAGTTTATTTATATAGTGCTAATTCACAACACTCATCTCAAGGCACTTTACAGAGACAATTCAACCAGATCATCCAGTCAGATTGATTCAAAGTTTACTATCTAAGGAAAACTAGCTGATTGCATCGACTCATTGACCCAATCCCAAACCGACCCTCAAACACTAACCCTTTGCACTCACTCTCCTTTTGCTCATTCCCGTGGAGGGTCCGCCACATAAGGTGCCATCCCAAACCACGTAGTGGTTAGGGCGAGTTGACCAAGTCTGCATAAGTGCAGGCTTGCTGGAATTTCCAAGTGGGTGTAATGGCGAACTAATGGCGGAGGAACTTGTGCATTCGATTTCTATTTCAGAGGCTGGAATAGTTTTGGCTATGAATTCAAACAGGTCCAGCCTTCTCCGACTTTGACCACCCGTACGATCTGTTGCCTAGCAACTGTGACAGTTGACTCACTCACAAAGCTAGACTCCAACAGATGTTGTAGTTTGTGCTTAAATTACAGCCAAACTCATTTACACAACATTTAAAACAACAATTTTGATTCATTTCAGATTAAACTATTCACATACTTGTGTTATATTCAGTTGCACTTGCAACATTCACCACTGTCTGGCGCCATTTACCTTTTTCCTCTGAGCACGGCTTGCTTGGACTCGCAATGAATCATGGGAAACCCAAGGCTACGTAGGATTCACTGGACCCGTCCTTTAGAGCAGATAAAAAGAAAGCTGCATTTGTCGGCCGCATAACGAGGAGTCTTCCAATCCTCGGCGTTTGTCGTAATTGGCCGACGAATCTGGCTTTCGCTGAATTCAAGCTGAGCAAACAACATAACATCACAGGTTAGTTGTATGAAAAAACAAATAATTCAGAAAGGAAAGGTCCTCTGTGAAATCTTTCAATTTGACCAGATACATTTGTTTTAAGAAAGTGAAACATGTTTGATTTATGTCACTCCACACTACAGCCACGCACATGAGGTGGGACTCTTGCCATAGCAAGGACTACTTTCCTTTTCCATTGGAGGGAACAGGCCATCCCATTCTCGTATATATTCCCCCCAGACATGTTTTTATGAGTTTATTATTATCATTTTTAATCATTTTCTTAAGGCATATTTAAAAAGCAATGTCTGACTTTCATTTTTCCATTTTTCCATTAGAATTTCTATTTATTTCTTTTCTCACATTCAAGCTATTTCGGTGAAAATTGTGTGTTTTCTTTCATTAAAGGCGCAGTACCAGCAATCCTGTCCAGGTGTATATATGTATATAGGTGTTATTTTCCAAAAGCCTTGTTCGGACAAATGTTCTAATAAATTGACTGACTGCATATCCTGAACAGCTTCTTTATCTCAGTTTTTAGCAAAGATCTAAGCATAACTTATAGATGTTGAATCTAAGATTAATCTAAGATAACTTCCTTGGAAAAGTAGAATTCTGTAAAACGGCCTTATTCAAGTTGCTGCTGTGAATTAAATGATGTACAAGGTAATCTCTCTCTGTCTGCAGTGGGCAGAAGGCAGTTTGTGAACTTTGACAGCGCTCAGGCAGCCAGCAGCGTACTGGGATGTGAGGCGGAGGAGCTGGACACTGCCGTCTTTAAACATCACCTGCGGCAGCTTCTGCAGAAAGCCACCGGAGTCAGCAGAGAAAGGAACGAATCTGATGAGGGTGAGAGTCGCTGGTGGAGAGCAAGCACTTCCTGCTGAAAGGCAAAAGCAAACCAAAGAAGGAAACATGGGAGGGAGTTTACGGTGACCTTAGGTCACCCGGGGAACGTGTCGCAAAGCAGGTTTACTGAAAACTTTACTTTTTTTTAAACCTAAAATCAGGGAATCTTCGAGTTTTCTGTTTATCGTAAGTTTCTGCTACCATGGTAACAGAGTTTTCAGTGAACCTGCTTTGTGAAATGGACCACAGCACTTTTCTACTCCATCTCCCTCTGTTGCAGCTGCAGCACTGCTGCTTTTTCCTCTACGCACTTTCCTAAATATATATATTTTATCATTTTTCATTAAAATCTCTAGCTCCAGTGTTGTGAAATAGCCTGTTGTCATGGTGACTCATCAAATCTGTGCTCCACTCATAATGGATTTTGACACTGGAAAAATCGAAATCTAGATAAGTATTTTTTTTCTTAAAATAAGTGAATTTGTTCTTGGATTGAGGAGGTAAAATAGACATTTTTCCAATAGACCAAGACAATTTACATTTAAAATAAGAAAACACAAATTATTTCAAGTGCATATTATCTATTTATCTTATTTTAAGATAAAAAAAAACTCCATTCCATTGGCAAACTACCTCATTTACCTACTCAAATTAAGGTTAAAAAGAAATTTTTACTTATTTCCAGATTATTTTTCCAGTGCGTACTTGTTACCAGATGATCTTTTCCAAGTGAACCTACTCAGAGTTAATTAAATTAACTCATAGCGGCTGTTGTGAAAGTTTCCAACCTGAGGCTAGATCAATTCAGATTTAAGGATTTGAGTCTGAGTTTGTAAAAACTGCTTTGTTTAGAGGGGCTTAGATAAATCCTCAGACATTTTTACCGTAAATAACATAAAGATGATTGAGAATTGGAGCTTTAGAGATATATGGGGGGTGTGATGGCCTAGTGCAGAGGTCACGGATTAGCGGACTGTGGTCCAGGTCCAGATCCAGACCCACCTGCTGGCTAATCAACCTGATTTAAAACATTTATAAATTACTGCATGTTGTCCGACGATAGTGTCTAATTTCACTTGCGCTGCTTCTCCTTTTAATATGGTAAAGCCCTCCAGAGTGTCCGGCAATTTTTAAAATTAAAATTCAATATATAACATGGATGCATTAAAAACTGTTTTATTTCAGTGTTAAATTCTGTTTAAAGTAACAGATTATCAGTAAAAATGTCTCTGGATCTTTACTGGTTGATTATTTTCTGTATTTGGACCCCACTGATTTTCAATTGGTTGCCCCTGGTCTAGCGGTTAGAGTAGTGCACTTGTGTTTGGGAAGGGTGCAAGTACCCAGTTTGATCCCCACAGCCTGCACTCTGGGTCCCTGAGCAAGACCCTTAACCACACACTGCACCCCGGGCGCCACACAATGGCAGCCCACAGCTCCCCAAAGGGATGGGTTAAATGCAGAGGGAAATTTCTCTGATGTGAGATCAATAAAGTTCAGTTATTATAATTAATGCTGCCTAAAGACAAAGCAAACAGATTTGATATCAAGTTGTTTAGCAAACTCTGCTCCAGCACGCTGTCATGAAGTTGTTTGATCATAGTCTGTTTTACTCCAGGTCCCCGTCTAACAGCTTCCCAGTGTTTGGATGGGATGGCTGCTGGACTCTATGAAGAGCTTTTCACCACCATAGTCTCACTGATCAACAGGTATGAATGGATCTCAGATCTTTTCCAGGTCCTTAGAAACACATTTTATTGAAGACTTTTGGGCCATTTTCTATGGGGCATAAATTGCCTTTATTTCACACACTACAAAAACATTTTTTTATTTGAGCAAATATTCTTAATTCAGTCTTTACCTTTAATTGGAGCAGATGATCTGCCAATGGAATGATTGTTTTGAGTTGTTTTTTTTTTTGTCTTAAACATAATGTAACAAAAATAATTTTATTCCATTGACAAATTGTCTTACAAACCTGCTCAAATCAAGTAAAAACAAGTGTAAACATATGTACTTTAATATGGAAGCTTAAACCCATTTAAAAAATAAATCCTTACCTTAATTCAACTAAATTCAATTCAGTTTAATTATTTATTTATTTATAAACAAGTTGACTGCATCGACTCATTAACTCAAAGGCAATCCCTCATACTAAAACATCTTGTGACGACAGTGGAGAGGAAAAACTCCCTTTTAACAGGAAGGAACTTCCAGAAAAACCAGGCTCTGTGTGGGCGGCCATCTGCTGAGGCCGACTGGGGTTCAAGGAGACAGAAGCAGACATAGAAAAAAGAAGCAGAGATACAAAAGGCAACGGTAAACTAGCTCTGCAGGCGGCCCCGTCCAGGAAAAACACAGCCAGGCAGATGAGCTCCGAGCCAGCTCTCATGTCAGAGGATAAAGAGAGCACATTCAGCCAGTCACAGTCAGAGAAACAAGACATCACTGAAAAATGATCTTGAACATCTATAAACAAAGGCGTTGATGGCAGCAACACGGCTTGTATTTCTCTCCTGGATGGAGTCACAGCAAAGCAGGAACAGACCAGATGAAGCTACTATGAGAAAAAACAGAGAGAGAACATAGCGTTAGAGATTGAACTAACAGAATTTGCAGAGTGGGAGAATAGAGATAGAATGAAGCAGAATGATGAAAAAGGGGTCCCTATGTCCTCCAGCAGTCTAAGCCTATAGAAGCATAACTATAGAGATAGCTCAGGATAACCTGAACCCCTCTTCTGAAGTTTCAAGCCTAAAAAATGATATACATATCGTATATTTTTTATTGGAGGGGGGTAACTGGCCTTACAACTTGCTGTGTTTTTGCAAACCCCTGAGCAGAGCACTGAGCAGTGAGCAGCTGGCGCTAGCCTCTGTGATGGTGGTGGACACGCCAGGCCTGAGGAACCCCAGACACTGTGCAGAAGAGCGAGGGGCCTGCTGGTCCGAGCTGTGTCACAACTACCTGCAAGAGCGTCTGCTGGAGCATTACCACGCGCACACCTTCATACACTCACTGGAGAGATACGCACAGGTAAGGTAGAGCAACACCACTCATTGTTCTAGTACAGTCTTATAGAATTATATAAATGTATGATAATTTATTGCATTATGTGATAGGTTTACACATAAAGTCATACATACACTGGAAAAAATCGAAATCTAGATAAGTAATTTTTTCTTAAAATAAGTGTATTTGTTCTGGATTGAGAAGGTAAAGAGACATTTTGCCAGTGAAACAAGACAATTTACATTTAAAATGTGAAAACACAATTGCATTGTCGTATTTCACATGCGTTATCTAATTATCTTATTTTAAAAGTTAAAATACTGATGCCATTGGCAATCTCATTTACCTACTCAAATTAAGGCTAAGTACACTTGATTTAGTAATTTTTACTTATTTGTAGATCGTTTTTTCAGCGTACAATTTAAACTATACAAATTTTCCTCGATTTGAGGAGGTAAGACAGTTTATACTGCAAAAACGATCAACAATAAGTAAACATTTTTCAAATTAAGTGTATTTACCCTTAATTTGAGTAGGTACAGAAGATGATTTTCCAATGAAATTAGTAATTTTACTCTTAAAATAAGATAATTAGATACTATGCACTTGAAATAAGACAATGCAATTGTTTTTTTCTTATAGCAAGATGTCTCATTTACCTCCTCATTCAAGAAAAAATTCACTTATTTTAAGAAAAAAAATACCTAAGATTTTAATTTTTTCTAGTGTACCAAAGGAATAAGATGATTTACATTTTAAAATAAGGAAATCACGACTCCGTCATCTTGTTTCAGCTACTTAATATCAAAAACACTCCTTCCATTGGCAGATCATCTTATTTACCTGCTCAAATTAAGGCTAAATACACTTTTTTAAAATGCTTTTTTAACCATTTTTTTTAGCAGCTTTTGTAGTTTGTTTGCGAACCTGAAAAAAAAAAAACAGCTACAGCTGCAAACCCTGTTAAGATATATCTCGACTTTTTGAACATTCTTGATTTAACCAGAGAATTTAGTTGAGATCAAAATGTATTTCACAAAAGAGACCTGACCGTGGTAGCAGACATCATGCAATAATGGATAATAAAACCTGCAAAAACAGATCTAAAAGTGAGTAAAGATTTCCTAAAACAAGTATATTTTCCCTCAATGTAAAATGATTAGATATTATGTAACCAAGATAATTAATGCAGTTGTTTTTTTGTTTTATTTATGTCAAACATCTTATCTGAGTGGAAAATTGTCTGAATTAACTGCTAAAATTAAGGGAATATATACTTGTCAAGAAAAAATAATTTCCTGAATTTTTTAGTTTTGCAGTTTATCATATTAAAAACAATAATAACAGGATAAAAGGGATTCCAGCATTAATATTACTACAGATTGAACCCTTAATAAAAACAGAGAAATATTTCACCTTCACTGCATCCTGAAAACCACCCTAAACTCCATCAAGGGAATGAATGCTTGTCATTTAAGAGGTCTTAAGATTTTTGCATGATAGAAGGTTAATGTAATACTAAAATCTGTTTGAACACAGAGGTAGTTATTGGAGCAAACTAGTTCAATTTACCCAGCAATGCTTTATAGATTACCGGTAATATAAACCCCTGAAATGAGGAACACCTAATGATGTCCAACCAAAGAGCACTGCACTGCAAAAACAGATCTAGAAACAATCAAAGAAATATCCTAGAATAAATGTTTTTGCTTCTATTTTGAGCAGGTGAATAGGATTATCTGACAATAAATTAATATGTATTGCTGTAAAATATAATAACTAGATATTAAAAACATGAAACAAGATAATGGATTTTTTGTTTTAATTTGGTTTATTTTAAATGTAAATCATCTTATTGTATTGGCAAATTGCTCATAATTTCCAATTTAGATTAAAATCCTTGCAGTTGGGGGAGTTTTTAAGTCTTGCCAAAAATTCTAATTTAAATTTAGAGTGCAAGAAGTTATTTAAACATATAAGATTATTGAATTATTCTGTTCTTTAAAAAGGTTATGTATGAAATAACTGAAATACCCAGACTAGATTTTCTGACTCTTCATGAATGACACTGAGAACTTTTCCCTCTTTCCTCCTCATCTGATCCTCATACCACAAAACTTGATCTGAAAATAAGTTCAAGTTTCCTAAAATAAGTGTATTTGCTCTTTATTTGAGCAGGTAAAAAGGAACGTCTGCCAATGAAAGAAATATTTTTGGCCTTAAAAAAAAAAAAACTTGATATTGGGATAGTTTTTCTTTTTTTAAACTTAATCCATGTTATTCCATTTACAAACTGTGTTGTAGAATTTACCTGGTGAAACGGACAGCTTAAGCACTAATCGATGACTAAACCTTGTAAAACTGTAGATCACAATGCTGTGACACAGGTGCTCTGTGTATTTTGATGCAGGAGAGGATTAATGTGGAGTTTGAGTGCCCTGAGAGCAGCTCTTCAGAAGTTGTCTCCGCCATCGATCAGTCGCCCCCGCAGGTATGATAAGCCAGGTGGTTTCTTCTACAGGCTGTGAAAGGAAGTTACGTTCAGAGACAAATGATCATTTTCACATTTTTCTTTAACAAAAAGATGATGAGGTGCATTTTGTAAAATGTATTTCCTGATGTGTTTAAATGTTGATGTGTTGTTAACATGATATTGATTTAATGTAATTTTGCATTAAAGTCATGCAGCAGGACATTACAGGTGGTTCTGAGTTATTAGGAATCAAAAAGGCTTATTTTTAACACAAATATCCAATATTTAGTAGCTCCACAGCAGCAGCCTCTGATTATTTCCAGTAAAAACTCATTAGTGCGTGCTGACATCAGAGGGACCCTTGGTGCTAGATTAGTGCTTTATGTGAAAGCACTTACTTAGGTCAAGAGAAGAAACCAGACCAACCTGAAAAAGAAAAATCCCAGACCAATTAGCAGACATCTGTATGAGGGGTAAATGTTACTGGCAACTCTTGTTTCTGTTTTGGTTTTTGTTTTTTATTCTTCTAAAACCTGCCATGTACGACAGAGTGTTAGGGCCAGGCTAGACTTTTTTGTTCTTCTATTTCAAGAATAAAGTCATACATTTCCGAGAATAAAGTCATAAGATTACTAGAATAAAGTCGTAACATTACGAGAATAAAGTCGTAAAATTGCAAGAATAAAGTCGTAAAATTATGAGAATAAAGTCGTAAACTGCAAGAAAACAGTCGTAAAATTACGAGAATAAAGTCATAAAATTACGAGAAAAATGTTGTAACATTACGAGAATAAAATCGTAACGTTACAAGAATAAAGTTGTGACATTACAAGAATAAAGTCCTAAAATTACGAGAAACAAGTTGTATTTTATGGCAACTCTTACAAGAAGCACTTTCTTCCCCAAAATGAGGAATGTAAAGTATCATGTGAAGTTATACATTGACATCAATTTTAAAAATAAGGAAACCTTTTAGCACCAGCATCAAACTGGGCAGAAGGTCAAAGTGGACTCAGGTTGCTGATTGGTGGAGCTGGTCGGTCGTCATCTGCTGGTCAGAGTCTGAAGCTTTGTTTCTGAAACCAGTTGTGGTATGATGACTTCATTCTCGTAATATTATGACTTTATTCTCGTAATATTACAACTTTATTCTCGTAATGTTACAACTTAATGCTCATAATATTACAACTTTATGCTCATAATATTACAACTTTATTCTCGTAATGTTACAACTTAATGCTCATAATATTACAACTTTATGCTCATAATATTACAGCTTTATTCTCGTAATGCTACAACTTACTCTCGTAATGTTCATAACTTTATTCAAATAATATTACAATTTTATTCTTGTAATGCGTTTTTCTTGAAAATATTTATTTATTTATTGAATATATTTATTCTTGAAATAGAAGAAAATGGGGGGGACAAACTCTGGAAAGGAAACAAAGTGCATATGGGAGGCAGCCGCCAATTTAAATGCAGACTTAGAACTGTGCTTTTTGTAAAGTGTCTAAATGTGTTTGTCAGTTTTTGTATTGAAGTAGTTGAACAAGACCAATTAAAGTGGAATGGTTTTGTTTTTGTATGAGGTTAAATAAATCTTAATTTACACTAAAAAAGCTTCGTATTTTATAATGGAGATGAATGGAAACATTCATGATTGTTCAAACATCTAGTCTGAGGTTGGTTTGTGTGGTTGAACCATCAGCAGGTTTAAGCTCAGTAGAAGTTAGTGATGCTGGGGATTATAGAGGCAGCACAGAACCATCCGCTAACAGGAGCGCAGCAGTGCCGCAAGAAAACACGGCCTGCTACCTCTGATAAAGAAAGTTTAACTAGCTGTTAGTTTATAATAGTTTATAATACTTTAAATGAACTTGAAAAGAGCTATGCTATTATAATGAAGTTAGGCTCTGCCATGGTATTACAGAAGCTAATGACCATTAGCATTGCATCATCATCTGGAACAGCAGCGATCGAGTATCTAAGCTCCACATCTGCCTCCAGTTCTTTTCTGAATATTTTTATTATAGTGTTGTATATAGAATTATATATTATAAATATTTTATGGTAGTTTATATCTTCAAAATTCTCCTGGTTACGGTACATAAATACACATGTATCCTCTATTTAAGAACATGTTCATTTAGTGTTTAAATCCATTAGCAAACAAGCTAACATAGAATAACATTACAATTAATATCTACAGTTGATAAATCCCTCAAATTTTAAGTTAATATAATGACTTATTAAATTATGAGAAAAGCTGTCTGATTTTTTTTTTCTTTGGTGAAAGCAATATCCTTCTGTAGAAAATGTTACTTTATCTCATAATTATGACATCATGTGGCAGTTTTTACTTTCAAGTGGTGGAAATTAGCTTCCAGGAAAGCTAAAGTTCATGATATTCTCTGAATCAAATAGCTCTACAGAGATAAATGGGTATCAGTAGCTAAAAGTAGCCAATCAGTTGGGTCTGAAAATGTCTTCCAATGTGCTTCACCTCTGAGGAACGCCTTTCAATCGCTCATCTTTTTGACTATTTTTACTCATCGGTTTGTTACAGCAAAGATCGTTTTCATCTCTCCGACCGTTAGAAACTTTAAAACTAGACAAAATTTCCTTTGATTACTTCCAAAAGGAGTTAAAGTACCTCCAGTGGTACTTTTGTCATTGAGGACTGCTTCCATCTCTGTTTTGGTCTGAATGTGAATAAAAGTTAAGTGCAAATGAGGAATAATATGACTGAATCAGAGTAATATTTACATAAAACGGTTTGGGTTTGTGTGATCTAGGTCCGGGCAGCAGATGTAGACCCCCGAGGTCTCCTGTGGGTTCTGGATGAGGAGATGATGACACCGGCCTCCTCTGAAGGTGCCGCCCTTGAGAGGGTCTGTCAGTATTACAGCAACACAGGTAAATATGAGAGGAAGAGGCAGATAGCCAGAGAGGATCACTTTGTCTCCAATGGGAGGGAGAGCTGTGTTGCATAATTCAGGTGTGTGTGTCCTTGCAGTGCGTCAGTGTGAGCAGCCTCTTCAGTGCGAGGTGAACCACCTGACTGGCTGTGACCCTGTCCGGTATGACCTGACGGGATGGTTCGGTCGGATCCAGAACAACCCATCAACTCTTAATGCCATTACTCTGCTTCAAAATTCCACCATGTGAGTTTGGAAACCTGAACTTAACTCTTATATTTGCCTGAAGATTTTTGTAGTCTATAAGCATAAAACCCAAAAGCAGGTGGAAACATGCCACCAAGTTCACTTACTAGACAGTATTTATCTGTTATCTGTGAGGAACCTAAAACGTGTCTTTTACTGAAATGTTACTTTAATATAATCTCTTAAGGCCTTAAAGGAAAAGTTTGGTCAGCAAGGAATAACAAATGGGCCATTATTTATACCTAAAACTAATATGTTCGCAATGATTTAATGAATTTAATGTTAATCAGTAAAAAATTAAAAGCAATAATTTTCGTTGCAATCACTGAGTCTGGGAGCGGCCATTTTTACCCACATATACCAACACCTCACTGACATCTTCCAGCAGTGACATCACGGTGCGGTAAGCCTAGCTTTACAAGCTTTACAAGCAAAATCAATGGGAACTAATAGACACATCTGCAATCAACAACAATTATTGGAGATTTCCAGAGGATTTCCACCATTGAAATTCACCAGAGCTATAGTGAAACTGACAATGCCCATGTGCATGGCAGCTGGATGCTGGAATACATTGGATAAAATTAAAAAAAAATTAGTTATTTCACCTTTCCGATTCCTGATTTTGCACATTCGGGGTCGTCCTTGGATTACCAAATTAAAGAGGGAGGATTTGCCAACAGACTTCTGGCCACATTTGGAAAATGTCAGGCTCGAAACCTTTGACCCAATATTCAAACGGACAGAACCGAATGAGTTCAAACAGTCTTTATTAATAAACGACATGCGGCTGTGTGTCAGCTAGAGCGGATAAACCGGATCCTTTGAGAAACGGAAACTCAGGTCAGTGACTAGAATAAAGGCTGATAACGACTAAGAGCAATAGTCATCAGTGATGGGAGTAATGGCGTTACTAACGCCGCTACCTTTTTTTAGTAACGAGTAATCAAAATTATTACTCTTAACTGTAACTATAACGTAGTTACAATTGCCGACACCCCGTTACTGCACGTTACTCAGGTCGCACAATGAACCTTTTTTCATGATAGGACTCGTGCGCGCGTCATGAGTGAGGAGGACTCCAGCGGCAAAACAGCGTTTTCCAGATGGAAATACTGGCGTTACGTCGAGCTGCGTTTCCCCATCA